ACGGTATATTTTATACATAAATCCGCGGTCACACCGAACAGCTGTTCTATGCGAATTGTAAACACACGTGCAAATGAACCATTTTGAGATACGAGAAATTCCCGGCAAGGTAATTCCCACATATTATTATTCGGTTGCAGCTGCAGTAACATAACATCTCTCCACTAGGGGCGTGCCATGGTGGCCACCAAAAACTTTGCCGCGGACGAGATCATTTTCGAGGAGGAGCCCTTTGTGTCGAGCCAATTCTCGTGGAATGCAGCCTACGGCTATGCAGCGTGCGACCACTGCATGCGACCGCTGGAGACGGTGCTGGAGAACGTGCGTCGCCTGGCCAGCGATGCGAAGGTAGAAGTGCCGCTCCTCCAGCACGATCCCACCTCGTCCTGGGTTGCACAGTTCACGCAGTGCCAGCGGTGCAAGGTGCGTTACTGCTCCGAGGACTGTCTGATGGAGGCGCGGAAGAAGTACCACCGCGTGGCCTGCATGGGTGCCTTTCGCGCGGATGACACACATCCCATCAACGTGCTAAACGAGACCTGGAAGAAGATGCACTACCCCCCGGAGACGGGTACCATCATGCTCATCGTCCGTCTGATGGCCATGTACCAGCAGAGCAGCAAAAAATCCGAATTCCTCGAGCAGCTGCAGTCCTTCCAAGCGCTGATTGTGAATCGCGAGCAGAAGATCTACCACAAAATGCTGGGTGAGAACTTTGAGCAGCAGATGGACCAGCTCTACGGCGCCTTCTGCAAGGCCTTTGCTTCCGATGAGTTTGCCATGGTAATCGGAAAGGATGACCAGGGAGTAGTAAAACCAGATATTTACGTGCGTTTTATCCTCTTATTAGTTCACCACACCAGATGCCTTTAAGACGCTCATGGGTATCATGGGCACCAACAGCCAGGGAATCGCCACCAGTGTGCTGGCGCAGTGGGTGACCAACGTATCCGACCTGCCGCTGCCGGAAGCCGACAAGACTGCCCTGGACACTGTCATCGACGAGCTCTACTCAAAAGTCGGAGAATGTAACTTCTGTCTATACAAAGTATACTCCAGTCAACTCCTAATGCTATTTTTCTCTACTGGCAGTCGCTGGCGAATTCCTGAACAACGAGGGCTCCGGTCTGTACCTACTGCAGAGCAAGATCAATCACAGCTGCGTGCCGAACGCCTGCTCGACGTTCCCCTACTCCAATGACATTGTTGTCCTGAAAGCACTGGCCCCCATCCAGGAGGGCGAAGAAATCTGCATTTCCTATCTGGACGAGTGCCAGCTGGAGCGCAGCCGCCACTCGCGCCACAAGGTGCTGCGCGAGAACTACATATTCGTCTGCCAATGCCTCAAGTGCCAGGCTCAGGCATCAGACCCCGACGTGACCAGCGACGAGGAGGAGGACGACGACGAAATGGACGACTACGATGATGACGATGATATGAACTAGATTAACACTCAATTTGTCGCAAGATCCGATTTTAGTATAGTAAAGATTATATTATGGCTATAGAGACCTACAGTTGATATGAAAATGGATTGCTGGCCTTGGCACGCCCATATCGGGTGAGAAAACTAAGTATGTAGGACATATCCCCGATCCTTTTCAAGTTGATTAGGATAACGGACTTCTAACATTTAAATTAAATTAAGCCACTATGTTTCCGAAATAACTGAATTGTTCCGTTTTCCTGATCGTTTAAGAACAGAGCTAAAATTCTATCAATCAGTTGGCTCTTTACGCCTACCTCACAGCTTTATCTAGCAGATATAAATGACCACTCACCCCACCCCATGTAGCTTTAATTGATAGAGCTGACAAAGAGAGCTTTCGATACTGTATGTATCGCCAAAAGCAGCTGCTTCATATGTGAAAAGTTTTAGTTGGAAAGAAAAGATCACAATGGCGCATCGATCCGCCTGCCTGATCTTGGTCCTGTGCACTCTGCACAGTGCCTGCGGCCTCTACTTTCACATGTCGGAGACGGAGCGGAAGTGCTTCCTTGAGGAGGTTCCCGACGAAACCGATGTGAAAGGTAAGCGGGCATAGCCTAAAATTCCAACGCAGTCTCTAAACGAGCCTTAATCTGTCCCCAGTTGACTACAAAATGGAGCTCTACGATCCACGCTCTAATGGCTTTATACCCTCATCCCCGGGCATCGGCATGCATGTGGAGGTGCGTGACAGCAACAACAAAATCATCCTCTCCCGTGTGTATAGATCTCAGGGCTGGCTCTTCTTCACTGCTCACGCGCCCGGCGAGCATGTGATTTGTATGTACTCGAACAGCACTGCCTGGTTCAGTGGTGCCCAGCTGCGCGTTCACCTGGACATACAGGTGGGAGAGCATGCCATCAACTATGCCAATGTGGCTCAAAAGGAGAAGCTGACGACCGACCAGCTACGTATTCGTCAGCTCCTGGATCAGGTAGAGCAGATCACGAAGGAGCAAAACTACCAACGCTACCGCGAGGATCGCTTCCGTCACACGAGCGAGAGCACCAACTCGCGCGTGCTCTGGTGGTCCCTGGCCCAGACCGTTGTTCTTGTCTGTATCTCGACCTTGCAGGCGTTTAATTTGCGCAATGAGAGACTCGACCTATATAGGGCTTTCTGCAAAGTGCTCAGCGGAGACGAGTTTACCATGGTGACTACGCACAAGCGACAAGGCTTATCCTATATATTAACGCGTTTTAACTCCAACAGTTCACCTCTCTAGACGCCTTCAAAGCACTGATGGAAATCATTGGCACTAGTCCGGAGGCCGTTACGAGCAGCGCCATCTCTCAGTGGGTCGACCAGGTATTAGATTTGGATTCATCTCTGACAAAACCGGACGAGATAATGCTGGTCAACCTCACTCAAAGGCTTCACGACAAAGTGAAAGAATGTAAGTAAAGAAAACCAAGTGTGATCAGATATTTCCATGTTATTTTTATTCTTGGTAGTTGCTGGCAAGTTCTTGAACAACGAGAAGGTATCCAAGGAGAATCGTGATGTGATCAAGCCATCATATTTCCTTGAAAATTCGAATTCCGACTTAAATATATTCCTCGAACAAACAAAGCCAGATCGGAGTGCTCACTTATCGAATGACAAATTCTTATTGATCTGTGAGTGTACCGAATGCCGCCCACAATCAACGATCCAGATATAATTGATGAAGGACTGTTCGGAGCAGCCGTTGGAAACAAGGTCTTTGCGCTAGCCAGCGCACTTAAATCTAATGCTGGCTCTTAGTTGTCTAACGCTCGCTCGCTAATCGAAGACTTTTGCTGTATAGCCCGAGCATAACTATGGCGGTGGCGGTTTGGAAGCAAACCGTGCATTATAGTCGGCGATCCTGGCATTATATACATATATATATATAGGTTTTAGTTTCACGAATTTGTTTTAACTTATTTTTTTGTGGATTTTATTTAAGCGGCCGGAAAACCCCGATAGCTTGCAAGGACTTCAGCCTCAGAATTGGTTTCATTTGTTGTCGTTATTCTATTAACAGTGCACCTAAATATAAATTTAATTTATAAATGGCTAACAAATCTCATCACGAGCTGCCCTCGCCAGCACCAGCTGAGACGGGCGTTAGGTTTATCAGGTTGTTGCTGCTCTCAGCCAGTTCCACAATGGAGACGCGGCCACGCTGCTTTATGAACTTGGCCACGGCCGCCAGCTCCTCCTCCGAGACATAGATGAACTTGCCACGGTCGTCGATTACGCCTGTGAGGGTCCCATTGGCCTGCAGATCCTGGATGCGCTCGATGGCCTGCTGTGTCTTCAGCTTGAAGGCAACGGCCAAATCCTCCAACAGGACAACCTTATTGTCCTTGATGTACTGTATAAAATCGGCCAAAAGATTATCCTGGTCGTCCGCGTCCCCCTCCTCAAAGCCCTCTTCCTCGACGCTGAAGCCGGCCTTCATTTTCAGATACTCCTCGTGCTCTTTGCGCTCGCGCTCCTCCTTAACCAGACGCTCGGCCTCTGCTCTTTTGCGGTCTGCCTCTTCCTGAAAATCCTCTTGTTGCTTTCGCTCGGCCTCTTCCTTGGCCTCCTTCACCTTCCGCTGCTCTCTATCGATCAGCTCCTGCTCGCGGTGCAGACGCTTCTGTTCCTTGGCCTCCATCTTGGCCCGCTTCTTGGCACCCATCTTCTCGTCAAGCACAGCACCTTGCGGCATACGCTGGCCATCGCCATCGGGATTTTCATCGTCATTATCTCCCTCGGCGTCAGCTGCTTGCAGGGCAGCCGCTGCGGCCGGGGCTGCTGCAGGAGCATTCTGGCGTAGTCGGTTACGCTGATTGCGGGCTATTTGGGCCCGTCGCGGGACGCCCTCCTGTGCTCGCAATGGGACGCCACGTTGCGGTGGTGCTGCTGCTTCCTTTGCTTCTATTGAGGACAAAAACAAAGTGAATTTAAGTCTGTCCCTAATGGTCTATTGGCTTACCTGTGCCGCCCTTCTTTTTCTGCAGGAAAAATATCGTTAATATCACGACCAGCAGGGCCGAAGCGATGCCCACAAGAATAATCAGGTCCATTATCTAGTTAAGAAACAGCTTGCACGATTTTGATTGGCAAAAAGGTAAACGTCAACAATTGTGGCAGATGTTCAGCTGTTTCTACGGCACTGCCAACACACAAGAAATGCCAGCTGTTGCTGCAGCGTTGCCAGTCAGCGAAAATTGCGCGATTTTGTACAAAATTGTATATTATAAATGTGAAGTAATCTAAAATTCCGAAAATATGACGGAATAAAAATTAAAAAATGTATGGCCGTGTTTTAAAACTATTCAGTTTGATGGGATGTTCTCTCTGCGCTCTCTCATGATGACGCGTCAGTACCCGAACGACAGAGCCGAAGTCTCTGGGGTTCCAAAACTCGTATGGTTAGTGGTGATATGCTGGAATGAGAATTCCGTCACGCTACCATCTCTATGCCAAACACTTCAACTTCGATCTGGCACTTTTTCTCATGACGTGTCGGCGAGCTTAACTTATATATTTAGTGGAAAAAGTTATAACAAATTGCCAAAATGCGAGATCAGTTCATCTGCCTGGCCCTGCTGCTGTGCGCCCTGCACAGTGCCTGCGGCCTCTACTTCCACATATCGGAGACGGAGCGGAAGTGCTTTATTGAGGAGGTTCCCGACGAAACCACTGTGATAGGTAAGCGGACAGGGTCTGAAATGCCAACGCATTTTCTAAACAAGTCTTTATGTGTCCCCAGTCAACTACAAAGTGGAGCTCTACGATCCACGCTCTAATGGCTTTATGCCCTCATCCCCGGGAATCGGCATGCATGTGGAGGTGCGTGACAGCGATGACAAAATCATCCTCTCTCGTGTGTACAGCTCCCAGGGCCGAATCTCATTCACCTCACACACGCCAGGCGAGCATGTGATTTGTATGTACTCGAACAGCACTGCCTGGTTCAGTGGTGCCCAGCTGCGCGTTCACCTGGACATACAGGTGGGAGAGCATGCCATCGACTATGCCAATGTGGCTCAAAAGGAGAAGCTGACGGAGCTGCAGCTACGTATTCGCCAGCTCCTGGATCAGGTGGAGCAGATCACCAAGGAGCAGAACTACCAACGCTATCGCGAGGAGCGCTTCCGTCACACGAGCGAGAGCACCAACTCGCGCGTGCTCTGGTGGTCCCTGGCCCAGACCGTTGTCCTCGTGTGCATGGGCTTCTGGCAAATGCGCCATCTGAAGAGCTTCTTCGAGGCGAAGAAGCTGGTGTGAGGACACCGTCAGCTTCAGCCCCCAACTTCCGTGTGTTTCTCCTACTTTTGGCTCATTTGGTGCAACAATTTTTGCGAATTTCATCGGTGGATCGACCATCATCAACCAGCCACAAGGCCTCGACTCCAAGCACGTCTAGTTTTAATTTCTTGTGCGTAATTTAATAAAAATCCATTGTACAAAAACATCAGACAGCGACTGTACGACTCTCCAGTGCAATCCTATCGCTGTCTGCTGGTCGGTCGGTCAGTCAGTCAGCTGAGCCTGGTCCCGTGACTTCGCTGACGCCTGACTGAGCGCGACTTGGACTTATCAGCTTAAGTTGTCGCCGGGAGATAACCTGTAGCGTTAACTCCGTCGTTTTAGCTACATGAGGCAGGCATTGTAACTACATTGAATTGACTGGCTAGCCTTTATCGCAATGTTTGTTCTTGCGCCCGTGTCGTGTACAAAGTGAAAAGCTAGTAGCTCTTGGACCGCGCACATCAGCGGTCGTCAATCGCGGCACAGATTCAACATTTACAATAGAGCTCATTGTGGCAGTGCAGACGCAGACCCACAAAAGCCGCAAGTCTGTAACCTGATCCGCCGCCAGAAAAGCAAACAAGCCAACAACTTGCTCCAATATTGCTCTCGGGTCTTGTACTCTCCTCGTCAGTTCACTTCACTCACGTCGGATTAGGCACACGGCTGTGGAAAATGTTTCGAGCAACGGAAATCGGCAGCGAAGAAAGTGAGTTCATGCCTGATGGTGATAAGATAAGGCCCAGATCTCTAAAATCTCCACACTATTCTGTTGGTGTTGATCTTTGCAGCCTTGCCAGCCATTGCGGAGCTCACGCAAGCCAGCTATGAGACGGAGGGACGGGACATCGAGTGGGGCAAAGGTAGTGAACGGACCCAGCTGAAGCCGCGACAGCGCAGCTCTCTGCCCAGCTATGGCTTTGCCCCCGCGCCCATTCGCATGGAGTACAGGTACCCGCGCGCCGTATACTTTATTCTCGCCACCAAGTTCTTCGAGGCCTTTGCAGCGAACGGCATACGCAGTAAGTAACCCACCCCACGGGCAGCCGCGCATCATTTACAATCGCCTTGCTTTGTCTTGACGAAAAACACCAAAACTTATCAGCGCCGCGCCAGATGCGAGCATCCACACAGGGACGAGGGGGTCTGCGATGCATTATAAAATGCATTGATAAAATACAAATACGATGCGGCAGGGGAGCCCTTGATGATTTGTTATTTTTCTGGGAATTTTTCCGTCATCGATGGAATAAGGAAATTTGGTGATGCATCACAGAAATTTTCCAGGCCTCTGCTCTGGTGGGGACGTGACCTTCATTTCATGGTCGATAAATAAATCAATCGTATTGAACGAGATTGCACTCTGTCTCTGGTGTCACAGCACGATTCTGATTATTACTCAATTCCAGCCATTCTCGCCCTCTATCTGCGCGATGATCTCAACTTCACGGAGAGCTTCTCTACGGTGGTGCTGCACATATTCAACTTTTTCGGCCAGTTCTGCCCCATTATCGGAGCCGTCCTGGCAGACAGCTATATGGGAAATGTGCGCACCATTTCCGCCTTTTGTTTCCTCTACGCCTTCGGATGGATGCTGCTGACCATGACGTCGCTCCCTTCTGTGGGAGTACCAATTATGTGAGTAGTACACGTTTTGATCGCTGATCCAGTAAGGCTTTTGTTGATTGCATTACCCTTCTTAGCCTGCTAGTGTCGATTGCCCTCCTCTTCCTGGCGGTGGGAAACGGCTCAATCCGCGCCTGCATCACGTCGCTGGGCGCCCTGCAGTTCAAAATGCCCGAGCAGGCTGTTCACCTCTCAGAGTACTTCTCCTTCTACTATTTCGTCTATTATTTCGGCATATTTCTGAGCAAGATTATTCCCCCGCTGGTTCGGGCCAATACGCAATGCTTTGACAAGGTGGAGTGCTATCCCGCCGTCTTCGGTACTCTCGCAAGTGCCTTCATGATGGCCTGGCGTAAGTAATAATCGATTTGCATACATCAGCTCCTGTGATTGTAAGGGTTTCCCACTGTTTCCAGTTATCTTTCTGATCGGCAAATGTTTCTACAAGACCGAGAAGCTGGCCGATGACAATATACTGTTCAAATTCTGCGGCTGCATCAAGACGGCACTGGTGCAGAAGTGGCAGCGACGCAATTCCAATAAGCGATCCAACTATTGGCTGCACAATGCCGTCGGTGTCTACGACGAGGCCTTTGTCAACGACGTCTCCAAGGTTCTGAGGGTAAGTAAAGATTACAAGCCAGATTGATTCTCGTACTTGAATCCTTTTCTCCCGTTTCCACTCAGATCTCAAAACTGTTTACTCCACTACCATTTTACTTCGCTCTGCTGGCCCAACAGGACTCCAGCTGGACTTTCCAGGCGGCCATGATGAATACCACAGTGTTGGGAGTGACCATACAGCCGGATCAGGCCAAGGCTGCGGGCCCCATCTTCCTCTTCATGCTCATCCCGCTGTGGCAATATGTGACGGTTCCGTTGCTGCGTCGATACTTTAATTGGGAACTAAAGCCACTGAACAGCGTCACTGTGGGTGGCATCTGCTCCGCTGGTTCCTTCTTCTGTGCAGGAGCCTTGCAGAAAGTGATTATGGTTAGACAACGAATAACAAAGACAAATACTCCACTGAGAAACACTCACTCTCTTAATTGTAAATCCTCGTAGATTTCACCCAGCCAGACCATTAACATTGCTTGGCAGCTGCCGCAGTTCTTTCTGCTGATGTTGGGCGAACTGCTGCTGTCTATTCCGGGACTGCAGTTCGCCTTCACGCAGGCGCCCACGTCCATGAAGTCTGTGGTAACGGCTACGTGGTTCCTGAACAATGCCTTCGGCAACCTCATTGTGGTTGTGGTCACCGAGCTGGGTTTGCTGAGCTCCCAGATGGACGAGTACTTCTTCTATGCGGTGGTAATGCTGGTTTGCATCGTAATCTTTGCACTCCTAGCCTACGACTACATGCAGCAGGAGCGCAATGGCGGTCTTTATTTGAGGGGCTGCTTGGACGGCCCCTCCGATGACCTGGATATCCCCAGCACCAGCCGCAGCGGCAGCATCTAGATAACTGCCGCAGCCATGTAGTACCTGGTTGAAACTAATGTTGGTACACCCTTTTTTTTAAATAATATCAGATTTACATTTCAGATTTTATTTTTAGTTAACGAAAATGTATATGAAATTAGGTAAAACTTATTTTAATTAAATAACAACCAGATCAACAACCAACTAGGGTTCAAAAGAGCCAAATCTGTACTAGACAGTCTACTTTATGTAGACCACCTAGCCACCTAGAAATTTCCAAAAACCTCATCCACGGAAAATCCACCCCCTAAATACCCTTACCAAAAGCCATAGAACAAAACACCGACTTCTCAGCACGGTAGACAGAGCCATACAAATATCCCAAAAACACCCCATCCCTTTCCCCTCAATCAGAACCTACACATCCAAAAAATTCAACATCCTTACCATATACGCCTTCTCGACCAGAAATCTATTATCCACCCATTTCCCTAAGAGCTTAATAATCTGGATACCCAGTCACATAGGCATAAAAGGCAACGAATTCGCCGACTCTGCAGCCAAGATGTACACCAAATTTCCCCTCATTTACACCCCAAACCACAACTCTACCGACATTGCACACTTCCTAATACAAGTCCTCCAATCTAAACAAAACGACCTCCTCACAAACACCTCTGCATGGTACCAACAAATTAGCCACCTCGCTACCAACACCCCCCCAAAGAACAATATCCTTAATAGAAGGCACCAGGTCATAATTAATAGACTGAGACTGGGCCACACCAAGCTGACCAACGCCCACTACATTGACAAAACATTGCCCAAGACATGTCCATTGTGCCGCAACGCGAACATAGACTTAAGACACATACTATACACCTGCCCCTCACTCTCCTCACAAAGGTCCCTATCATTCAAAAACAAAGACCCCATGCAACTCATCTCAAACCCACCAACGCAAATTCCAAAACTATCCTCAAATTTCTTGTACCGCTAATCTCCTTCACAAAATATAACCGAGTAAATACCCATCCCAACACCTTTGTAAATATGTATAAAATCTGACCCAATTACCCTAGAGCTTAAGGCCTCAGTAGATATAGCTTCAAGTTTGGAGCTAACCAGCTATTAGCGTTACATAAATAAATAAAATAAATTATTTTAATTACAGACACTTTCTAGGAAAAGGTATTTCCTTAAAGGCTCCCTTAAAGCGTTCCCACAACTGGCACACCAATATTACCAATATTAATTTTAACTAGGTATTGCCATTGCACTTGTAATTTATTGGGACCCACACACATACCCGCACACACTTACTGAAAATATATACAAACTAAATAACTTAACTAAGGAGAGAGATCAGTCGAGGATCTTGAACATGTACTGCAGCTCCAGATTGGTATCGTCTGGCAGATCTGTGCAGTGAATTGCATTGAGCACCTTGGACTTGCCAAACTTGGCGCGGAGGGTGTGGGGGCGCAATAGCTTGGCTATTTCCGGGTCCATAGGACCGCAGAATGTACGGAACTCGCCGTAGCTACTCTTTCCCGGATCGGCAGAGGCGATCTCAAGGCACATGCACACACCGCTGGCTAGCTGCGCTACCATGGGTATGTACTCGGGAAGGATACCGCGATAGACCTCGTAAAACTCCTCGCAATTGATTCGCGCCATTAGAATCATGCGCATGGCAGTCACATTGAAGCCGTTGGCCAGAATTTCCTCAACGATGTCACCCAAAAGGCCGTCCTTTATGCTGTGCGGCTTGATGATGGCCAGCGTAGAGTTCTTGAATAGACATTCTTTCATGATGCTGAGGCGGTCTTCGAAAAAGAACTTCAAGTCTATGGCGACATCCTCCTCGGTCGCAGGACAGTAGATTCCGTAGCGCACATCCTCCTGCTCGAACAGCTCCTCCAGGCTGGACGACAGCTTCACGGAGGAGGAGTCATTGACCCCATCCGGACCCTTGTACTTGACACAAGCGGTCATGATCTCCACCACGTTGTCGCCGATCAGCTCCAGGCTGATGGCCGGGCCGGCCAATAGTTCGTTCATCAGGACACTGGCAGAGCGTGGCAGCCGTATGATTTAAATGTCCCCCAGAAAAACTTTTGATAATACTCACGAGGATACAACTTCGTTCTTGGGCTTCCCGGAGAGGAACTGTGTCACCATTTTGGGTGTGAACTGTACCATCTGTCCGTTGTTGATGTTAATCTTGTTGTTGATGAGTGTCTTCAGAAACTTGCCTAGATGCTTGTGCCACATATTATTCTTAAGCAGCACGAATCCTCTGTGAAAAATACTCGTAGAGTATGAAGAAGTCTGGACTTTTTCATGTCGAGCACCCCTTACCTTTTGCGATATTTGGCCAAGTTGCTGCGGGTCGACTCGTCCGCGTAGTCAACAATGTCGAATTGCCGGCCGAAAACATTGATCTTCGAGCCCACAAAGAAGTCGCGTTGCGTCAATTCCGGAATCTTGGTGCGACGCAGAAAGGTCTTCTTGCTGCGTTGATCAAACTGAGGAGCACCCAACGATTAGCATCCGAATTGTAGGCGATATATTCTTAAGGAAATACAATACCACTTCCACTGCCTCGTCGGCCACAAAGTAGGTCACCAGGAAAGTACGTATGATGGCAGCCTCGGCCTGATACCATTCGGCCACAAAGGCCAGTCGCCGCTCTGCCTGTGCTGCGCCGGTCATATTAAGTTCTAAGAAGCTTTTTAAAAGTTTGTAAGTAGCTCCCAACAATAATATCACTTGTTTCGAGTTAAATTGTGTCGCTTGCTTTGCTTCGAATTTTTTTCAAAGCGTGCCCGCGTTGTCACAGCAACACGAATCGAAACTATCGATACACAGCATCGATAGGTGGTTGCGAGCAAAAATGCCATCCCTCCCCTCCACAAATGAGGACAATTTTTCCCGTTTTTGTTTTATTTATTGTAATTTCCTTTATTTACAGGAAACAAAAAATAATAAACTGCAAACACATTTTTTGCAATGAATTGGTTGTAGCTTTCCTCTGCTTGTTGTTATATTCTAGCGTAAAACTTATGGTTTTCTTGTCGGCTCCAAATGTTTCGTTTCTTGTTCCGTTTTACTTTCTGTTGTTAACATCTCTCGCCTCACCTGAATACGCAGCCAATATTCAGTTAAATGGGTGATTCTTTTTGGAATAGTGTATATACGCATGCGTATGTGGATGTTTTTATATGGATGTGTTGATGGGTGTTTTTGTGTGTTGTGTGTGGGGGGAGAGATTGTGAGTGTTGGTGTGTTCGTGTGGACTTAATGGTATAAGCGCCTCGGCTAACGCTACGACTACTCCAAAATGCTTGACCCCGGCAAACTTTCTAAGCAGCCGGCTTCTTCTTGTCACCCTCGCCGGTCTCCTCCTCTTCCTCGTCGTTCTGGGAAAGGCTAGGGATGTTGTCATCGGAGTCCTCCTCCTCATCGTCAACATTAAAGTCGTCGAATTTATTGTTCCAATCACCACCAGAGTTATTCAGGAAGTTGCCAAACATTCCATTGTCTTTGGCGTCACCTGCTGACATTGGAGGAACATTTAAAGTAGAATTTGGGTTGGTCAAAAAAGAGAGTCAAGTCTCACCTTCCTCGTCATCGGACTCATCGCGCCACTTGGCAAAGTTGGCCTTAAGGAAGTGCAGCTTCGTCTTGTCCGTGGTCAGACTGGGCCAGAAGGGTCCGCTCGCCTTCTTTGGTATTGTGAATTCTAGGCAACGCCCAATGTTCTTGCTGGTCACTTTCTCGGGATCAACCGTTCCGAAGAAGTTGAGCGTGACCTCGTATTTCTTAGACGCATCCAGCGCGTTCACACCCTTGAAGGTGAAGCTGTTCTCCGTCACTCTGCGGGCAAAGCAGAAGGTTTAGGATCAGTTAAGGCTATCGAATAGAATCTAAAGGTCACTTACTTCTGTTCGATGTCCTTGCACTCAACATCGATGATCACATAGACCAAGTCGCTGCGCTGTGCCCAGGAAACTGGAGGCGGAATTGATCTGAAGTGGCAAATGGAATGGAGATTCTTGAATAAATACATAAGCACAGATATAAACTACAGCCGGTGTGGGGTTCGACGGTGCGGGGTGCCACATGCCGGCCCCCAGCAACGGCGACGGCGGACAAACGTCGTCGACTTTTCTGGAAACCAAGGCAAAGTGCAAAATATATGCTAATCGCTCTGCGATCCATTTGCATACACATAACCCACACAGCCGGGCGCCGCGCACAAAGGTCCATGCCGAAAATACACAGAATTAGCGCCAACCCAAACATAACCTCAAATGCTGGGCCTCAAGTTTGGCCCAAAAAATATCGCAATGCAGTTGCGCACGGGACACGCCCACCAGCAGCAAACTAGCCGACGCAGTTGGGCGGCCATATGGAGAGGGTCTAACTATCTAAGGACTGACCGCGCAAATCATAGGTATCCGCGAAAAATGGACGCCACCACTACTGCAACAAAGCACGCGCCGCAGAAAGAAGCCACAAAAAGATGTGCAGCGGCCGGGCCAAGAACATGGCTATTTACAACGATAAATAATGCACTTACCCAATTGCTGCCGACATTCTGTAGTTGATTTGATTGCTAGTTACTGGGCTATTTATTTATTAGCAGTTCTTTATTGCCTGACTCTTCACTTTTTTTCAGGATCAGTGTGGCCGCGTAAAATATAATTTGAGAGGAGACCGAGGAAATAGAGCTCGAGAACAGTGTGAGAAATATACCAAAATATACGGTCTCATTTTAAAAATATACCGTAAATATACTGACGAAGCCAATTTCTATTATACATATTTCTCGTTTTTGATATTCCGTGCAATATAACTAGCTAAATAAAACTCTCAGCCATGCCCACATAATTTTATCCGATTGATGAATCAATATTCTACTTGACTTGTTTTCTTGCTACGGGGATTCAATGTTTTTGCTCCTTAAAAACAATATAGCGTCTCGTTCTGATGAAAAAACGAACTTAGCCCACTTCAGCCCCCTCTATTTAAAAAGTTTAACTACTTCAGGTAAATAGCTGAAAATATTAACGATTGAAAATTCCTGTTGTAGATTCATGCCATCTTTCCTGTAGACTTCAATAAATACTTTTCTTTCACCTGAACTGCGTTAAAATTCTTTAACATTCATAATTTTTGGGGAGAGTATTTTAGTATCCACTGGTCAACAATGGGTTAATCGTCCATGATCGGATGTCAAATTCGTCGATTTTGATATTCGATTTGATATAGCTAGCTAGGCAAGACCCTCATTCCTGAACACATCATTTTATCCGATTGATGAATTAGTTTGGAATGTGTATAATATAAGGTTTACAAAAAAAGGTGAATCGTATTTCTCTGACAGTTGAGGCATTGTACAGCACAGAAATTTCACTCACAGCGCTGCCATACCTCTGAAAGAAAAAGTAGCAAGAACAAGAACGAGAAGTGAGTCTGAACTATTACTTAACCAAATTTTTTGCCAATTTGAGATTGTTTAATTGCATTTTCGACAGCCATGTTGCGCATCACAGCTGGTAAACTTGGTAGCGCCATCCGTGGCACCATTGGCGTGACCTCGTCGCGCGTCGCTGCCGTCCGCGCCCTGCACGGATCTGAGGAATCTGCGGAGGATTTTGACAAGCGCTACGAGAAGTACTTCAGCCGCGAGGGCATCGACGGCTGGGAGATCCGCAAGGGTATGAACGATCTGCTGGGCATGGATCTGGTGCCCAGCCCCAAGGTCATCGAGGCTGGCCTGCGCGGTGCTCGCCGTGTCAACGACATCGCTTTGGCAATCAGGTGGCTGGAGGGCTGCAAGGACAAGTGCGGTGACCAGAAGGCTACCCTTTATCCCTACTTGCTGGAGAAGATCACCCCTACCCTCAAGGAGCTGGGTATTCCCACCATTGAGGAGCTGGGCTACGACAAACCCGAACTGGCCCTCAAGTCGGTGTACGACCTCTAAGCAGTGCATACCGAGCTGCTTTTCCACATAGTTTAATGAAAAAGCAAAACAGTACACAATACCCTCACCTCTCAGAGACACTAGCTACACATCCATAGTATCCCAAGTATGGTGTGGATGAACATGTTATTGGATTGCAAATAAAAGGAGATTGGAGTAAGGCTACCACCACACAAATGCATGTGTGTTGTTTGCCTCTTGATTATGTAACCGGACCACCTAGGTTAGACGGCCGCTACTGCATTCTGGGTTGGATTTCATTAAATTCGTTTATTGATTGGCCACTATTTCCACTTTCTGAGCAGCTCGGCTGCCTTGTCCAGGTTCTCCTGCTTCTTGATGAAGCAGTAGCGCACAAAGTCCTCGCCCAGCGGCTTGTTGGGCTCGCTGTAGAAGGCACTAGGTGGGATGCCCTGCAATCCCATGTTCTTCGTCATCCATTTGGTGAACTTGTAGTCACGGTGCTTGTCCGTTTCTGAGCTCAGGTCCACTTTGCTTGCTAGCGGTGACCAGTCGGCCAGCATGAAGTAGCCGCCCTCGGGGATGGTTGGACGCATCCCAGCCTCCGACAGGAATTTGGCCATGAAATCCCGCTTCTCCTTCAGCTCGCGGGGCAGGCTGAGGAAGTAGCTCTCTGGTGTACCCAGACGGGCCAGCTCCACTTCGAAGCTGCGTGCGACACCCTCTTGAAGGGGCGTGGGGCAAGTGTAAACAGAGTTCTGGTGCACCATCTGGAGGTTCCTGATCAGCTGAGACGGCCCGTAGGCCCAGCCGATCTTCCAGCCAGTGACGGAGAAAGTCTTGCCCGCGGACCCAAGCGTGATGGTGCGATCCCACATCCCCGGCAGCGTGCAGATGCGTATGTGCTCGGCTCCGTCGAAGACAAGCCACTCGTACACCTCATCCGAGACACACAGAACGTTCCACTTGCGGCACAGCTCGGCAATGCGCTCTAGCTCCCTGCGGTTGAAGACCTTTCCTATCGGATTGTGCGGCGTGTTCAGGATGATCATTTTGGTTTTCGCATTGAAGAGACTCTCGAGCTCGGCGTCGTCCAGCACCCAATCCGCGGAGCTGATCGGACCCTGCTCTGTTTTGCGCTGAAAAATAATACAAATGAGAGGGGGATCAAAGTAGTTTGTAGTTTGGAATTCCTACCAGCTTCAGTGGAATAAAACGTGAGACACCGCCAGCCATTTTCACCATGGGTTCGTAGCAATCGAAGAAGGGTTCGATGATGATCACTTCATCGCCGACATCCACATGACCCATGATGGTGGAGTACAGAGCTTCGTACGCCCCCGAAGTGATGAGGATATCGCTGAGCGGATTAAGCTCACGTCCCACGAGTCCACTGTACAACTTGGAAAGAGCCTGAACCAGACGCACATGACCGTATCCTCGGGTGTACTGATGCAGCAGAGGATTCTCATCCTGCGCAATGTCAGCCAGCGAATGGGTCACATACTCGGGGGCGGCATCGTCGGGAAAGCCCTGTCCCAGATTCAGGGGCTTGTACTGCATGGCCAAAGCGATGTACTCGTTCCACACGCTTGGCGTGCTCCCCTGCAGTCGCTTGGGCAGATCGAACTTCTCCATGCTTCCGCTGGTGGCTGCGGCGCTTTGTTGCTGGCGTTGCGGTTGGGGCTGACAGGGATCTTTAGCTGTGAGGAGGAGGCGGATTGGCTGCAGAGCGCTGCGACAGTTTCGGAGCATCTGTAAGAAAGGTGTTTTTTAGTTTTTATGATCCCTTATCGTTGGGGCAGCGTGTGTTGCCAACTGTTTGATGTGGCTGATAAGCACGCACTTTATTGCTGTCTGAGACAATTGTGTGCTTAAATATCACTTGTTAAATGCAATTGTTGGGGGAATTGAATGCTGGAGCCGTGCACTGTTCAGTGACGTTGCATAATGGAACTGAATTTTGATTAGACTCGCGGAATATCTATGTACATATAAGCGATGCGAAACTGAATTTATTTAAAGCACTCACACACTCAAATATGTATGTAAATAAATCGGTTTGGTGAATATACATATACTCTTGCCAGCTGTTTCCTGAAATTATGCTATGCTGTGGATTTTACTGTATATACTGTATGTTAGTGCTTTAATTTATAGAATCTACGATTCAGCTTTAGCCCTGAGCTTGGTTTCTCACACAGTGCTTCTTAGCAGCGCGGTAAGTGTTCCATTATTCCAATGTTCCCCTCAACTTCCAACACACCCCGAACTACTAAAACATTAACCACAATAACCGCAAAACCCGCAAATTAAATGAAAATTGTACTTATTATAATTCTAGGCGGGAAAAGCTCTTCAGTGTGACCGCAAACTTATCGACCGTCTGACCATCAGAAAAATACCGAAATATGCGTCACAATTTTTAAAATGTACCGTAAATATACTGACGATTTATTTATATTCAAGTTCCATCATATTCCACATTTTTTAAATTCGGTTAAATATCCAGAAAGGAGCCTCAGTTCTGAACTCATAATTTTATCCGGTAGATTAGTTAATTTTCTATATGACTGGCTAATTTTAAAGATACTCTTTGCTTGGATTCTGTCTAAAACAAAGTTTAAACGAAAAAAGTCAAAGCTAAAACGTGAAATAGCATGAATTTGTTGCTTGTTAACCGGTGGTAAGGACATTTGTATTGGCTGATTGGAAACAGTATTAATGTCTCAGGTGGACATGTTTTGGAAATATTTAGGCATACGATTCCCGATATCTATTCTTGGTGTCTTTAAGAAAACCTTAAATTAACGATCCCACGAAAATTCTTCCACGAAGGGAGGATATACCACCACGAAAAAGAGAAAAAATCCCAAATCCCATCCACACCACACATCTTATCTCATCTATCGATACATCTATCGAAATTCAAAACTCAAAACAGCACCGCGCTTTTTCAATTTTCAAAAGTTTTATTTATAAAAAATGCTTGTTAATGTTGGTAAATCAAGTATGAAATCATCATATAGCTATAGTGTTGTAATTGACAAATGATTAATAACATATTTTTGAGTAGCGAAACGTTTTACATTTGAAGATATATGTATATGTATTTTTGTTTGATGAATTTCCATTACAAAAGTTGCGTTCTGCAGAGTTTTAACAAAGTAAAGCTACTAAACTTAAATCACAGATAACACTAAAGTGTTTGTTACGATATATGTGGGTATGTATGTATATATAGGCTGCTATATATGTATGCGTGGTCTTCTGGTCAAATCGGTTGTTACAGGGCCGCTTTGCACTCCTATGGACTCCTTTTTCGTGTGTGGGAATCATAGAAATAACAAGACTTGGACTTAAGTTTAAGTTAGAAAAACGCTAAAACTATAGAAATTGTGTGTGTGTGTATTTTAACTGTAATTGCAAGTGCATTTTGCACGTTCCTCCTACTCCTTCGATCTTCATTGTTAAATGCTTAAGTACTACGAAAAACAAGAGGCTTAAGTTTTGGGATACGCGGATGCAAATGATATTCGATCTTCTGTTTCCCCTTCCGCTGTGAATGGCACACTTTGCGTAACGCGAATGGCATACAAAAACTGAAACTGAAACGAAACTGAGTTTTGGTTCTTCCTCAGGTCTCTCCTCCTTCTGGGATGATGGATATGGGCCCCTCTAGACGTGCACTTCCGGGCAGTCCTCATCCTTAATTGACGTATACTGGACCTTCTTGGCCACGTTATCGAACACCGGCGTGATCATGTACTTTAACTTATCGCGACTCACGTAGACGAGGGCCACCAGCAGCCCCAGCAGGATCATGCTCAGCACGATCAGCAGGAAGATTAGCGTGGCAGTATGGCCGCTGATGTGCGCCGGCGGCTGCTCTGCTCCATAGCTCCGCTGCTCCTCCTCGGCGGCATTCAGGATGGTGGCCGCTGCATCGATGGCCGCCTGGCATGCGCCCATATCCAGCTGCAGGATGTGGGCGGGAGAGGGATCCACCCGTGAAGCCGAGTGGAAGCACATGAGACTGTCCTTGTTGCGGACGGTCACCCGTGTGGACTGGATCCACGCGCGGAAGGGCGCAATGCGGCAGTCACAGACGAAGGGATTCAGATTAAAGTCCACAATCAGATTGGCCGTGCGATTGGAGCGATCCTCCAGCTCGTTGAGGACCCTCATGTCGCTGGGCTTCACGAAGCCAAATTGATTCCGTTCGAGGTCCAGGAACCGCAGATTGTTCAGGCATCGCACCTCGAAGTTAATGTCCCGCAGCTGGTTGTCGCCCAGATGCAGGTCCCTGAGGGAGGGCAGATCGCAGAAGACATTGCGGTCCTTGAAGTGCGTGATCTCGTTCTGTTCGAGATGGAGCTTTTGCAGCTTCAGCAGCTGGCTGTTGACGAAGATGTCGTGCAGGTCCTCGCTCAGCTGCGGCGAACTGTTGTCCTCGAAGGCGTCCGTTAGGTGAAGGCTCTGCAAATTGACAAAGTTGGAGAAGACCCGCGGATGGTGATGATTGACCTCGTCGTCGTAGCGCGAGATGCTCAGGTTGTTGTGATTGAGGATCAGCCGCTCGACGCGCGGCACATGGTGGTAGCTCTTGCCGCGTATCTCCCGGATGTGGTTGCTGCTCATGTCCACGATCTTGAGCTGCTTGTAGTCGTTGATGCTCCCGAACACGTTCCAGGGCAGCTCCGCAATGTGATTGCCGGTGAAGATCAGCACCTCCACCTTCTCGGGCATGAACTCCAGGACGCTCGTGTTGCGCAGCCCCGCGTTTGTGCAGTTGACGACGTACTGCATCTCGCTCTCGTACACCTCCTCCCCGCAACTGCAGGCGGGCGGGAAATTGGGGCCACAGCTGGGAGAGCTTTGGGCATCCACGTCCACCAGGGTAATGGCCACCAGGACCACGGCCAGGACAGCCCATCCGCTGTGCCTCGATTCGGTGGTCGGCATCATGGCTCTCGTAGCTCTCGTACCTCTCATATAGTTCCGGGGCTTGGGTCTGCAATTAATAGCAGGAGTAAAATGTTTTATTAGTTGCGAATGCATTTTAAAGTGGAGCCCAAAAGCCGCAACCTCAATCTGCCCTATCTTTAGCCCCCCTCCCCTTACCCACTTACCCCCCGTCCTTGTTGGATATTTATGCTCCACAAGTTGCAGATTTACGAGCTTATGAAAGGGGGCTCCGGCTGCACACCTCAATGGTTTAGGTAGCACGACGTGGCTCACGCGGCGTATGGGTAATTTCTGTTTAGTGCCGAAACTTTTTGCCGGGGTGGAAGGAAGGACAGACGCCCGAAGAGCACTCAAGCGGGAAACAGGAAGCAGCCGGGAGGAACCGGGAGGCGATGCTGGAGAGGAACCGGAGATGCGGCGAAGCCGTAAACCTGATTATTTTTCTCTCTTTTATTGTTATTTGTTTAGCGTGCGTGGTTTCAGGATATTTTGGGCTTTGAGTTGTTTGGTAAGGTAGAGTAATCTCAGTGAAAGCGCTTTAGCCCCTGGTTGGAGTGGAGTACCACTTGGTCGAAACGATGTTTACCATTCTCTGCCGTTCGAGGGGTTAATTAAGCCACAGCCACAGCCACAGCGACTCCTTTAGAAGCCCCGAGCCGAAACACACAAAAGATTCGGCCTGGGAAAGTGCATAAAAGGGAAAAGGGCCCCTATTCTCCACGTTTGAGTGCTGTGTGCCCTTTGCCACATTGATTGGCTCCGTTCAGAGGCGGGTGTCCTGGATGATGGTTCAATTAGCACTCGACTCTCTTGTCTATGGAAATTGAGGCACAGGCCATCCCAAAGGGTTGCTAATGAGCGGCATCAAATATCCAACTGTGAAAATTGAAAACTAACGGCTCTTTAATGGGCGCCCCACGTGCCAGGTGCCACATGCCACATGCCACATGCCACTCTGCCATTCTGTGTGCCACTCAATTATCTCATGCTGGCAATTATGTTGAAATATTTGATTCGATATTTGCCTGGAATTTGAAATTCCACAAAAATTAACAAAATTGTGTGGCAAAGATATTCCTTATCTGCTGGCTGCGAAAAATAGGGAAAATATTTACCAATTAGTGAGAGTACAAAGACAGAGACAGAGACAGAGAGAGAGAGAGAGAGAGGTTTTCATTAGGCAGGAATTCCATTTACCATTCCACGCCTATTCTTACATTTTCACACTTTCCCCCCCCCCCCCCCCCCCCCCATTCCATGCCTTAAACGTTTCTCTCTTGCGCTTCTGCCCAAAAAAAGGGCACAAAGCCAAGAGAATGAAACAAAAGCTTTGCTGCTGCTGCCTACCCACCACTACCCACTACCGTTAGAATGTTGGCAAATAGGAACATGTTCTTGCAGGTCCGTGTGTGTCATTTCCGGTTTGTCGGACGCTAACAAGCGGCGGCACCAGCAACAACAACAAAAACAACAACACTGTACTACTCTAACACTCGAGACCCTCCGCCGGCGCCTGTTCTCGCTGCCTCCCTCTGTTGGTCGACTCTCTTTGCAGTTTTACTTTAATTTCAACATTTACATATGTATGTCTTTTGTTTGTTCTTTGCTTTGCATTTTATGTGTGTGTGTGTGTGTATGTGTGTGGCCCCTCCACTGCAATAATAAGGCAAACAAACAATTTGTTCCCCCCTCTCTCTGCATTTTGCTTTGTGGAATTTATTCATGCGCTTAAAATAATAATAATAAAGAAAAGCAACAAAAGTAACAATAACCCAAAAGCAACAACAAAAGCCAACAACGAAAAGCATACATATGTTTCTTCGAGGGGTGAAAGCGGTAGATACCCTAGAAAGTGATGGGAAAAGTGATAATAAATCATACCGTGGTGCTCATACACTTAAGCCACAAGAACTACACCAACAAGCAAGTTATGAAAATATATAGTCAGCGAAATATGTTATTAAAAAATCTGAAATCATCTCCAAAATATCCTGCTTAAGCCACATCAAAAAAAAAATGGTTAAAAAAGTTAAAATTTGCCCAGTATTTTTAATAAAATTACTTTAATATTGAGTAGGATGACCTTTCTGCTTAAGAAAAGTGGAGCAACGCCTTGGTATTGAATCTACAGGACGTGCCCACTGTTGAGGGGTGATTTTCCTCCATTCTTCCTGTAAAAATCGGCACAAATCCTTTTAAAATTATCGGCATGTTCTCCAGAATGTCTCTCTACATTTCAGCGTTCATAATACCTTGAATCTTCACCAGTGATAATAGATCATATGTGCTACCTCTTGAGATGTTTGGTCAGATATTTTCTTGCAAACTTCTTCCCAAAAATATATCACATTCTTCTTGAACCCTCTCCAGGGTATCAAAAGAACAATGAAAGAAAGAAACAGCAACAGCATCGACAGATGAGGACGAGGAGGAGGAGGAGGAGGAGGAGGAGGGGGAGGAGGACGAGGAGAAGTAGGAGGAGGAGGAGGACGAGGAGGGTGAGGAGGAGAAGGAGGACGAGGAGGACCAGGAGGAGGACGAGGTGGAGGAGGAGGCATTATAATTCGTAGCAAGCGCAAACAAAATAATAACATTTTTTGTGTGCTTTGCATTCGCTGTCCCCACTCCCACTCCCACTCCCTTCCCCTTCCCCAACGTTCTACCACACACACTCTCCCTCTCTACCTCTCCCTCTCTCCACTCTACTCCTATCCTCTGTTAATTCGTTAGTTGCTGAAGTGCCAGGCACTTGGCAGTTGCAATGCAAAGGCAGAGGAGCTGCTGGTGAGGTGGCGGGGGAGGCGAAAAAAAGAAAAGTACAGCAGGTGCAGAAGGAAGCAAAGAAAAAAAAAGACGAGTGTGGGGTAAATACAAATGGGAATGAAATTAAAGGTGGGCCCGCCTCTCAATTTGTAGCTCGCGATGAGAGTCAGCGAGGGGGAGGGGGTGTGGGGGAAAGAACTTTGAGCATGTGTGGGTGTGTTTGAGTGTGTGGTCTAATTAGAGCATAAATGTACAGTTACAGAGCGAAAGAGAGGGAGAGAGAACCCCCCCATACGTAGGGGTGAAAGTCGAAAGAGCAGTGCGAGTGAGTGAGCGAGAGAGAGAGGACGAAGTAGTACACCTTCAGCGTTACGATAGATAAGTCACATTTATAACGGGTGTCAGGGGTCACCACTTGGATAGTAGAATAGCAGGTGGAAGGTGGAAGGAGGAGAACAAGCGAAAACCACAATTGCTTTCCGCTGTAATTCTGAATAACGACAACCAATTAGCTTTCAACTTTCAACCCCCCCATATCCCCCTTTTACCACAATTCTTATTCATCGATTGTTTCCCTTTTGAACATTCCATAAAATGACCACATCGTCCTTTATTTATCGATCTCTTCCCTGGAGTCCCAACTTAAATTATTCCATAGTCTATTGCAGGATAATCTAGTTCAGCTTTCCCTTCTGTTAGCTGCTCCTTATTAAAGCAAGCATCCTACCCCTCCCCCCCATTCCATCCAATCTTCCAACGAAAGCATCCCCTGGAGCGGAATCCCCATTGAAATTGAGTTGAGTTTCGGCTTTCGCTTTTTAGTTGGGGGAGCTAGAGGAGCTAGAGCAGCAGATGTCTCCATTATCACCACCGTCGGTGGCGACTCCTCGGAATCGGTGGCTGTTCTGTGGCCAAGCCCCAAGCCCCAAGCTCTTGCCATTTCTCTTGCAGTGAAATTTGAAGCCACGCCCACTCCACGCCACTCCACGCCACTCCATCCTCTGCCTCCATCAAGTGCTGTCCTTGGGTTTTTTCGCCAGTCAAATTTCATTGTTGCCACAACTCCTCCTCGTTGCATACTCGTACACTTTGGGGCAACACTTGTGCTCTTTAAACGGCGTTGATTTCGCTCTGTTGCAACACTTGCAGTCCAATCTAATGGAGGAGTCGGAAGGACAAGGCTCCTTCCTCTCTTCCTCACGAAAATCCTAATGCGGCCAACAAAGCGTTTAATGTCCTTCTGCAGTCATTAAAGGAAGCGAAAAATTTGAAATGTTGTGTAAAAGCTTTCCCCAAAGGAAGCTACTCTGGGAAGGGACTCTCTTTGGGAGCTCCTACCAAAAGAAAGAGTCTCCAACTAACTGTTCTTGTGGTCGTGGCCATAAATTTCAAAGTGCGGGCTCGCAGGGGGGCTTTGGGAGTGTGGGAACTGAGTTATCGCCAGGGACTGCTTTTGGGCGCTTCACGGCTTTGTTCCGCCTTGTTTATGGCTTCATTGACTGTCGCAGGGAGCCCCCAAAGAGAGATAGAGAGAGAGAGAGACAGTGGGGAGCTACTTGTCGCGGTTGTCTCTCACCTGTTTTCCCCCCCGCCTTCAACCTCTGTTCAGGCAAAGCCGCTGCTCCATCGCCAATGCAATTAAACGCGACTCTATGCTGCAGTGTCCTGGCATGGTCCTGGCTGGTCCTGGCCTCAAACTCAATTAGGAGAAACTTCTACAGCGGAGAGAGGGTGGAGGAAAAGTGCTGCTGCTGCTGCTGCTGTATCCGCCACAATATGAAATTGTTGCACGTTGGTTTCTTCATAATTTCATTATGAGGAGAGGACGATGGACGACGGACGGACACGACACGGAAGCCATCGCGCGTGTGGCAAAAAAAAAGGAGCAAAAGGAGACAAAGGAGAGGGTAAGGAGCACCAGGAAGCGGGAGCTTTCGAAAGAGTATCGTAATGAAGGACTTCCCCCCATTGTCGGTGGTGTCTTGACCAGACGAGAGGTCTCTCAGAGGGGCCTTCCGCTGGGGGCAGCATGTAATTAGCGAACAGCAATAGCTAATTGCAGCTCAATGGCCAAGTACCTATCTTGTATCTCCACTCCTCCATCCCCTGCCAGGAGTCTTCCCCGGCAAAGAAGTGAGAGTTTTTCACACGCCAAACGGCTGGAAGTTGTGCCACGGAAATCCAAGGGGAAATGTGAAAGTTTAAGGGGCAACTGCGAGGCGAGAGAGTTGTGGCTTTTGCGGTCTTTTCAAGAAAACACAGATGGAGCGGCAGCAGGGGAGC